TCTCTATCATTTTTTTGCTTCATTTGATCATTCCATGTGTTGTGAATACTAATTTTGCTGACCAAATCATTTACGTCTGCTTAATTTCCATTCTTTAGCGATTAAATTTGCTCAAGGGTCTGCTTGCAAACATGGTGGTAGCAATGATATGTCTGTGATCTTGTTGCCTCTAGTAGTGAAAATTTCATCTTGCTTGATTTACACTTTTCTGCTTAACTCAATGCCGCATCTTCAAGTTCCTCAGATATCTTTTGTGACAGAACATCTAAAACCTTAAAGTTATCAAAAAGTGTCAACAAAAATTTGCCTTTGACTACAGAAGCACAAGATCCAATAAGGGATGATTTCTTCGCTGGTGAATGTTAATGTCACTTAATTTGAACAACTTTTGGTATTTGCTAGTGTTTGTGTCTAGAATGACCCTCTCTCCGTTGTCATAAAATAAGATATACAGCAACGACTGCAATATCGATGTCTCAAGAATGGAACGGTTGATATTTATGTATTGGTTGTAATTCCTTAAAGCATGCATTGCATGCAGGACAACTTTCAAGTCTGCTTTCCTGGCTGCTACGGAGATCTGGAAGTAATACAAAATCTCTTTCAGTGACAAGGATGCATTCTCGCCGATAGCAATAGCATTCAAGAAGGTATCCAACCAGTTTGTCGAAATCCAGTTTGTTGAATCCAGTTGTTCACTGAAATCATGAAATCCCAGTTTGCAGAAACTCAGCTTGCCGAAACCCAGAATGCCCAATACAGTTCGCTGAAATCAGAAATCCCAGTTTGCCAAAACTTAGTTTTCCGAAACCCAGTCCAAATCTCTGTGTTACAAAAGTACAGCATACTGTGTATTTGAAAGGAATGAGCTTCATTTGTGTACAAAGTAAAAGGAAAAATAGCTGTAGAAAAACACACTTGAAAGCATGGCTATCAGTTAAAATTAGAATAAAATGAAATGAAATGCAGGATAAGCATCGTATCCTTCTAAAATACTCCCCCTGTAAACCCTATCAGGATTGTTGTGCCAGGTCCCTGACAACCGAGAGTCGGCCCCTTAAGTCAGACCCCCTGTCGACAAATTTCTGGAGCCACAATTGGCATGTGTGTGTAATTGTAGATTATTATTAATTTGTTTATTTCCTTCTTTATTATTTGTTTTTATATAAATTTATGTATTTATCATAGGTATGCTAATAAAACCTTTTAACTGCGAGGCCTACTAAATTGACTTTTATTTGCTGATAGCCAATTGATTTACATATTATTAAAACAATAAGAATCATTTAACTACAATAAGCCGCTATTTCTTATACGAATACATAGTAAGAGAGTGTTCCAACATGAATGT